ATCCCCATTCCCAGCAGGAATGTTTACGTGGACATAGCCAGCCGAGGATCCCAGGCTTGAGGGCTCTGCTTTGGAAAGTGCAAAGGGTGTTTGATGGAAAGCAACACGTTTACCCGTAGGCAGGCTGGCAGATGGTGGTTGTATGGCTGCACATGTGGGCAGAATATTTTCAGGCCAGACAAAACTTCCCTGAAATCTGGATTTTTCTGTGCATATGATTTGCAGCCAGGCACATGCTTATGGAGTGCAGCCTCTTGTTGTTTGTATAAACTTGTGACAACGTGATGACAATGACAGACACTTCTGTGTTGTGTCGGGGACGCATCAGCTGAGATTTCCCCACCCTCATTGCTCTTCCAGATGTGCCAATTTTTTTTTCGGTAGTCACATCAGCCCCCCAGGGAAAAGTGTCAGCCATACTAGTTAGTCTTTGGATAGTCTTTGGCCCATTAGCTTGGCATCCTGAACTGACATCCTGAGAACGACCATCAGACGCTTCTTCAGAGGCCCTCTCTGCCCCTCTTTGCTCTCTCAGCACGGACAGCCCATGGACTTTAATTGTTGGAGGGGAAAAAAGACAAACTATTAAAATAGTGAATGACTTGACATTCCGTAACACTGTGCCTACAAATCTCAGTCTCTATAACTCTGACTGATGGTGTCTGTTAAATTACAACTCAGAGGACAAGGAGAGTGAGCAAGAGAAAGATTTATCTGTAAACCTGTAAGAAATTCTAATTAGGGAAGTGGACTATCTCTTTCTAAAAACTCAGATCAAAATGATATTAATTTCTCATTAGTCTTCCCAAATCCCCAGCAGCCTGCTTGAGCAGTTTCTGAATCAGGACTCTCTTGAGGCTGTGTTGCTGTCATTTCCCAAGCAGAAGGCTAATTGTCAGCGTTTCCAGTGAGATCTGAGGTACGGAGCCAGTCTTGAGGCCGTGACACCTGGTTTTGATCAGACTGTGGCTGTGACCTCATCAGCGCTCATGAAGTCAGCAGGGCTGGCAAGAGCTGCCCTGCGGTGAGATGCTGTAGTGAGGACAGCAATATAGTTCTTCAGAGCTGTTGCCTTTCGTTACGGAGCGGTGAGCTACAGACGTGGCATCGCCATCTAACCTACCTTCTTGTGAATGGATGCTGCATAGATTTTTATTTTTAGTAATTAAGGGTAATGCTAGTAATTAATTTAGTATTTAAGCTGAACGACCTTTTTTCTTTCTTTTTTTTTTTCGCTGTGTAGGCACATTCTAAGCCTTTAAGAAGGGGTTGGCCAACGGTGCAATATACTGTGCAGATGCATCTTTTCAGAAAACAAATGCAGTATTACTTTGCACCCAGCTTTTTCTTCCCTTGGCAACCCCACTGGCAGTGCCCCTTCCGTGGTGCAGGAGGCTGACAGCCCCTCCGGCCCGAGACATCGTCTCTTAGTGCCGTCTTAGCGGTGGTGGTTGCACCAGCCACCCGGGACCAGGCTGCTCTTAAACCAGGTCGCTTGGTCCACAGCTGTGTGCTTGCACCGTCCCCGGCTCTCCTAACAGCCCTCTGTCCTCACAAGCAAATGTGTGGTGGAAGAGACCCTGGAAGCCCCGCTCATCTAATCCGTAGGTGAGGTTTCCAGTGAACGCCGCGCAATGGGACACGACGTCTCTTTCCGGTAAAGGTTTTTACACGCCTTGAAGCGTTCTCTCCAAAGAGAAAACAGTGCCTCGTGTGCTATGCTGGGTACATTTCACTAAAGACAGGCTGAAAAACCACTGGGGGATTTGGAGCAAAATAATGAACGTTGAGCTTTTAGGTATTTCCTATTCATTCAAATCAACTATGTAAATCTACCCATTTTAAAGGCAATAGGCAGAAAGGATACCTATTTCTTTGTTGAACGACTACCTAAGCTAAAATTTCCTTCTAAAGAAAGAAACGGTGCCTGTGACTGTGAGAGAGAGGGGTAGGGGTAACACAAAATACCGTACCGGTACAGAACGTAGAGCCCTCCCTGAGACACGCGTACCACTTAGCAATGACTCAATGTCACATTGTGGCCTGATCAGCTTAAATTTTGGTCTATTGGAATAACCTATAGCTCCTTCCTGAGGGAAGAGATTTCTTAAAATAGAAAATATTCTATAGAAACTCGGACAACAGATTGCTCTTCACAGTAGCTGCAGAGCTGGTCAGAGCAGTCACGTACCACCTCGTGCTAGTTGCAGCAGTTCAACTTTATACACTCTCTCGTTCGCTGGGACTTTCAAATTCTCCTTCGTGGGGTTGGGCTGTGTGTATTTCTGGGTGGAACGACCCAAAGCTCTCATGAAACTGAATGGCAGCTGAAACATTGCTACAGGGCGAGGTTCATGGGCTGAGAGCTGAAACGCTGGATTAAAAAATGACGCTGGCCAGCCTGCACCGGCTGTGGGGCAGAAAGCGCCTTGTGCTGATGTTGCGTGAAATTGCCCGATGTTTCAGAAGACAGAAGAAAAGAGCCAGGAGTGCACAGGGATGAT